CGTAAAATTCAAGCTCCTAGTATTTTTGCAGACAATTGCATGATGGCTCGAGCAACAAAGTGAGCGCTCAAGCGAACCCACTTTTACTCAGTCCTTGGCTCGAGTGACTGTCGAGCGACTGTCGAGTGTAAAAATTAAGCAACTAGTACTTTTGCAGAGTTTTTCAGACCGCTCGAGCGACCAAAGTTATGCTTGAGCGAAGACCTTGTTTTTAGAAAATTTTGACTAGCTCCTTGAAGTGCATACTTACATCCTCATATCATTTCAAGTATTCTTAGGTACTAATTGGACTCTTATAACCATGGAATGTGTTAGAAACACATAAGGAGAGTTACATTAAAGTGAAATGGATATTGAGTGGTGTTTCAATTGTGTATTTGTTATGTGTTTTGTTTAGGTGGACATTCGAGGCTTAGCATCGACTTAACCCACTGTGAGTACTAACTTGATCAAGATATGTTCAAGTTATATCTATTTTTGAAACTGTTATTATTCTCGGATTCGATATATGATTGATGGAATGATTTATTGAAATGCTATTTTTCCTTAATGAATGAAGTTCCTTTTGAAATTGTATTCATGGCATCCATTGATTATAAATCCCCGCCTGGGGAAAACAATACAACGGCCATTGATTGTAGGCCCTTGCCTGGGAAAAATAATACCATGGCTATTGGATTAATTGAAACACAAAGATCTTTGATATTAGACCTTAATGGTCCATTGGATTATTGAATGACCCATTGTGGTCCATTGATTGACCCTTGTGGTCCATTGTTACTGTAATGTTGTTACACTATGGATGTACCATGTAAATTATTATTGTATTGAATATTGTTATTGAGAAATCAAAGAGCATTTTGAATTGAATGGAAATGAGAATTGTCTTGAAAAACTATTGAACTTCATTCATTTAACCTCTTTATCTTGTTATTACTCACTGGACCCTAGCTCACTATTTTTATATATATTTAGGTGAGCAAGCTGAATGCCAAAGTTTGGGAAAGCCTCGAAGTCTACACCGTGTCAGCCTTTTGAAGAACTTCCAAAGTGAAGCAAGTTAGGCTCGTGTGGAGCCAAGCAGTTAAACCCCTTTTGTTTTCCAATCTCGTTTTGGTACTTTGATGTTGTATAATGGGGTTTTTGTTTAATTATGAATTGTGGAGTTTTAATGTATGAATTAGATGTTTAAAACTTTGTGATGTATGCACATAAACAACTACAATATGAGGTATTTTCATATAAGCACAACTCAATGGAGTATTGTCAAGTCTTATATTGCTTCCGCTAGACCCCACAAATTAATCTATGGATGTTTTGTTAATAGAGGATGTAGGTAATCTGAGATTATTAGCCGGTCATGACACTAAACCTATAGGAGCGGGTTTAGGTCGTGACACTTATTTGGGTAGACTATTTGACGGCCAGCTTTTGAAATACAAGAAATTTTATTTACACCCCAAAAAATATTTAAGTGAGTCTAATTATTCAGTACACTTTTTAAATTTATTTAAAATTATAATTTATTCTCAGTACATCCTTTTTTTTTTTCCTTTGCAAATTACCCTTTTGAGTTACATCTAAATAAAACAAATTTTAAATTACTTTTGAAAAATATATCTTTTGTTCACGTGCATACAAGGAACACGACTAGGGAATCCAGCACCGACGAAAGGAGATAGCGAAGGAGAAGGAGATGGTGAATTCCATGTTTGGACTTTCAGAACCATACAAAGTGAATTTGTTTGGTCCTGAAAGTCTGAACAGTAATGACGAAAAACAGGCTGAATATTCGTTTATATATATATATATATAAACTCATAGAAATCAATAATTACACTTTGATATTTATGTGAATACTTACATTCTCTTTGATGAATTGCTTCAAACAACTATTTTGATTATTACTCTCTTCCATTATTTAATTTTGTTCAAACTTTTTTCTATTTGCAAGTAACAAAATAAAAAATAATGATGTTAATAATAATGGTGAGTTTTGGTGGGGAAGATTGAAATTTTAGAGTAAGGAAGAAGAAGAAAAAAAAAATTTGAAACTTGAGGAAGAAGATAAAAAGATTTAGATAGGAAGAATACGTATAATTGATTATAATATACTATAAGAAAAAATAATATTTTTACTTTAAGGTTTAATATATGTTGTCTTTATTAGTAAATTCAAATTAGAGTATAATAAAAAATAAAATTTTAAAATTTTAATTAACCGTACTAAATTAATTTTTGAATTCAAACAGAATGAGCGTGAAATACGTCTCTCATCTCGAATTGGCCTTTTCTTTTTCGTCAAAGTTATTTAATGAAATTCTAATCTTTTGAAATACTTTGTCTAAATAATTTGTTGTGGCAACAACATCTACCCTATGATTAGATGAATAGAAAAAGGCTCTGACATTCAAAAATTTTAATTTTGTGCTTGGTTTTGAATTTTGTTATGAATTTTTTTTTTAAGAAGAGAGAGAGCGAGAGAGAGAGAGAGAGTCGAATTATTTTCACAAATTCCTTTCATTTGTGAATCCCTCGTACAAATCTAAATCCAAATGTATACAATGATACAAAGATATGGTATATTCATTTTTTAGATCTATTTTTTAAAATTTAATAATGTGTAAATGATATAATCAATTGATGATGGGTGAAGATATAAGAGAGAGAGAGAATTACCTTAGATATTTTAATTAATTACCACATTATTAGATTTAAAAATTGAGTCTAAAAACTTATGCTGTTGAGGGATTCACGGAGTAGATTGATTGATGGCCTTACTAAAAGTTGGAGAGTTACATCTTCTCTTCAAGGTGAAGCATTAACCTGTAGGTGTGCATGCCAATTAGCACAAGCCCGCAACCTAGATGTGGTGGAGATCGAAGGGAAATGCGGTGTCTGAAAATGCTCCGTCTTGGAAATGCGGTGTGATATTCAGCGACATCAAGCGCTTGGCTGCTCAAGGAAATTTCACCTTTAGTTGGAAGCATAGAATAGCTAACCGAGCTGCCCATCGGGTGGCCCAAGCTTCTCTTCATGGAATTCTTTCAATTGACTGGGTTCCTTTAGCTCGGTTGCTTCAAGAGCTCTGAGTTTTGCTATTCTTTGTATCTCTGCTTGTTTGTTTCTTTTGTATTACTTTCTTTGTTAAAAATAAAAATAAAAATTTGCAATGCCCATAAATTTATATACATTTTTATTTGAGTATGATCATCCTTGCTAGAACTTGTAAATTTGGGCCTGTTTGATGGGCCCAAAAGTGACTGAATTTTGGTCGAATTGGAAGGCCTACTAGTAGATCGTTTATTTGTATTTTTCAGTTAAATAAGTTTTATTTATTTCTTTTTTATTTTTCTTTGCCATGTGATAGATATCAATTGATTAATAGAGTGTTTTTTACCAGGCCGGTCCACGTCCTTCATTGATTCAAATCTAAAATCTCACCTCCAACATCACTTGAGTGCTTCTCATAACAACTTGGTGTATAGGTCGAGTCTTATATAAGTCAAAAAATCATTTTATCACTTATTTCATAAATAAAAATAAATAAAAAAAGTTTAAAAAAAAATTAAAAAGAAAATAAACAAACAAACTTAATTAATTAAGCCAAGAACTAGTTGTGTAGTGGGAAAAAAAAATAAAAAATACTTACCTCTAGGCAAATTCAACACTCACTTCCGGTCATGTTTGCAACAAATCCCCTTGAGTTGAAGAATAGTGGTAACTGATTGTTTGGAGTTTTCAGATCAAGATAGCCTAATGTGTAAGCAAAATAATGAATCACGTAGAACCGTCCACAAATGCCCTTGTATTGTCACTACAGGAAATGACAGTTTTGGCAACTAAAATATTGATTGTCAAAAGTCTCATTTTTGATCGCCGAATCTAATTAGCGACTAAATTATTTTGACGCCAGGTTAGTCACCTATATCCTATTGGCGATAGAATTGGCGACTGAACTATTTTTGGTCGCCGAAAGTTAAATATTTGGCTACTAGACTTTGGTTAGTCAGGAAAAGTGATCTTTTGGTGACTAAATTATTAGTCGCCGAAATTGAACTTTTGGCTACTAAACTTTGGTTAGTCGGCAAAAGTATCTTTTGGCGACTAAAATATTAGTCGCCGAAAGTTCTCACATAAAACTAAATTAAACTATTAGAGACTAAAATTTTAGTCGCTAATAGAATACGGACATTTATGACCAAAAACTTTAGTCACCAAAGGATGTTATGTTTTTAGTGACAAAAATATTTAGTCGGCAATTAAACTTTCCTCATTCTGAAATTTGGTTTAGCTACTATGTGGTTTGGTCGCAAAAAGCCATTTGGTTATTTTTTGTTACTAAATTATTGGTCACCAAAACATTTGCTTACATTTTTAGCTACCAACATATTTAGTCACCAAATACTATATTAATTTTTTTTTTTTAAATTTCTGAACCACCCGTATCGATTATTAGTGCAACATGTACCTTGTATAAACAATATAATCCATAAATACTAAATATATTATCAACCATTCAACAATGTGCACATATTTTACTTCCAACCATCAAAAAAATTTATATTCAATGTCCAATTCTAAATGTAATACAAATTCCATACGAACCAAGTATAATCCAACCCTAACAATTTAATTCCATACATAATGGAGGATTAACCAAATTTAATATCCAAAAGGAAATCTATACCACACCAAAAATTTATTCTGTACCACCCCAAAAACTAATTTGTATCACGTCCAATGCTAATTTCTATCAGGCCAAATTTTGGACATTTACCACGCAAAAAAACTAATTTGTATGAACCACTATATATACATACGGAGATACAAAAACAAAGCTCTTCCGTACTTGTCAAAAAAAGTCATATCCACATTTGTATGTCAAAAACCATCTGCAAAAAATAATAATAATAATAATAATAAAAAAAATAAAAAAATTAATCATTAGCATATATTGGCCAATTTAAAATTATAAAAAAAACATATAAAATTTGAAATTAAGTAATCTTTTCAAATTAATCATTAGTTTTGCATACTCGAATATATATGAAATAAATTTTTTGATGTTCAATCTGAGTACATACAACATATGAATCTAGTTGCTCTATTTGATGTTGCTAATAAATTGATGTTGCTATAAAAGTAATCCTAATAATAACTAGAAATTCAAACACTGGATTTTGACAAACTATTTGCCTCAAATTGAAGCTAATAGCAGACCTGCTAATGGATGCTACCAAGGGTGTTAAGCCTCTTTATTGATTAGCGCTTCTTCTTGCCTCCTTTTGCAGCATTAGATTTTGATGGGGTTGCAACCAGGTAGACAAACGAAGCCATAATGGAGATCACAGAAATCAAGGATCCATGCTTTGCCAACAACCTCTGCAGATAGAGTCAAGTCGGAAAAGTCGATCAGTTCTGCAGTAGTCCTAGAATTCATTCAAGAGTGCTTTCATATATGATGATAAGATGGATATAAATACATGATTAACAGTACAAAGATATCTCTTGAAAATAAATCAAAACCAAAACAACAAAACATGTTGGACAACCCAAATATATCTTTTTTGATTTTTTATATTTAACATAAACTTTGATTTTTGGCAAAACTTTTTTTTTTTATTTATATTTTTTGCTCCATCTTCTTGTTCACCCAATCACTACAACAAAAATCACCTTTGGCGACTAAATTTTTAGTCGCCAAAGGTCCATTTTTAGTCGCCAAAAGTCACTTTAATACCTTCCCCGACTGATTTTTTTTGTCGCCAGTGTTGTCGCCAATAAATGGTCGCCCAAGGTTTTGGCGACTAAAAACGTCATTTTCTTGTAGTGAATGTTGGTCCCACTATTACTCCATTTGTAACATGTAGCTCATTAATTCACTAACCTCTAGCATATGCACTCCTAATTTTTCCTATGCAAGTGCATATAATAGTAATGAGAAAAATAACAGCTATAGTTATAAAACTATTTGTATCCTGCGGTTCAAAACTTCAAAAAAATGATAATAATAATAATAATAAAAAGGGGTAATAACAAGAATAGGACATACCTTAGCCTGAGAAAATTTGGTCAACGCCAACCACAATGCCATGTAAAAACACAAGAATGTCACTAAGTGAACAAGGGATAGTGTGTCTATAAAGAAATTGATTGATAAATCTATTACTTGAGAGAGACCTACCCACTCAAACTTTTTCACCGAAGGTTTGTCTGCGAGGATATCTAAAGGCAGAATTGGAGTCGAATAAGCCTCCTAAAAATGGTAACAGTGAAAAGATTGCAAATCATTCACATTAAATAGATAAATACATGTGTACACATTTTTCTATATATACAAATGAAATAGCTGGAATGCCAAACCTGTAGAGCAGCCTTTGTGGGGATGCGGAATGTGATAACTGCTGGTGCACCATAGAACAGTGCTTGTACTTCGGACTCCAATTCAAAAGCATGCGATACAAGAGCGCCACTGCTGATTATACAAGTTAGCATGATAAAAATAAAGATATTAATTCAACAAATTGGAATATGGAGTCTTTGCAAAATGTGAAACTCACACATCAAGCCTTTCCCATGACATTGAAGTGTTTCCACAGATAATGTGAAAAACATCTTTGGACTAGCTATCATCCGTTAGACTTATATCATATGCAGTCCTGAAGATACAATACAATGTACAGAAAATACCAAAGTGTAAGAGGGCATAATGTAATCAAGAAAAATATGAAATTACACTCAAGAAAAGTCAGCAGTTGTTATTAGAAGGAGAGAGTGAGAGAGTACCAAATATCAACAAGAATCTTATGTAAGGCATTAACAACACATTCCATGAAGTGAAATGGTTGAAAAATTAACCGTGTGATCATAGTTTGCAAATAGATTAGATTGCATTAATTTAAATTTTTATAATCAAATAGTTACTCAATAGGAGAAAAGGAAACTTGGATAAAACAACTTAGTAGGAATGAAACCAATACCCTTTCCTTGATCAAACCTTTGTTTAAATATCAAATAGTCATGACAACAAAGTAAGAAAAATGAACCCAATACGAAAAAAGAAACATGATCAACTCATAACATGCAACTAAATATATTTGGTTCCATAACTACAATTGTCAATTGAACATTTGCCTCTGATGAAAAAGCAAAAAGTATCTTTGTTCCAAAGGCAAGTATCAAATGCTACTTTTAGGTTTGCAAGCAAATGCAACTTACAGAAATGATCACTACTCTCGATGAACTCTATTACGAAGAAAAAGAATACTGAGGTTTTTATGTAATAATTTTTACATAAAAAATATTTTTTTACCTATGTACCGGTTACTTACTTTGCTAGTTGAAGCCTTGACCCTTTCGACCAATGATTTTATCTATCAACATACTATATTTCAAAAATTGGTCACATCCTCTCTATCAAGTGATATAAAATATTATAAAAAAGTGGTACCTAATATAGCACTCTCATCTGGGAAAGAGGTATTCCAAGATCCACTAATTGACAAACCAAAAAACAAGGAAAAGAAAAGGATGGAATGTCACATAGAATATTATAAATAAATAAAAAATCATATTGGACCTATAAATCATTTGTTTAATTGACAAATGTATCTGCCTTTTCCTTGGGAAGAAATGAAGAAGTTATTTGATGGTGGGGTGGGGTCAGCAAAGGCAAGAATTATGTGGTCTTGTTTTGAAGCCTTTTTTGGGGATCATGGTTTCAAGGGGGGATAAATGAAAAATTGGTTGTGAACATGTGATAGAATTGGGTTGTTGCTATAATATGATTTGAGCTCAAATTGAAGAATTTGAAAGGAAAATGAAGTGGAGGCCCACATAGACATATAGTTTGTCTGTAAAATTCATTATATAGATCGCCATTCCTTATGCAGAGCAGGAGGGTTATCTATGTGAGAAGTTGTGTCTTGGCTTAGGGCCAGCCAAGTTAGATAAACTTGGCCAAATACTACTTTGTCTGCAACATTTCCCTCGGAAAATACTTACAAATAATATGCACTTTTCTGAGAACGAATGAAGAGCTTTTTTTAATTTTTTATATTATAAGTAAATTATAGAATGTATCACAAAATAGAAATAATGAATGGAATTCACGTGTGAACGCTCACCCTTTACCTATATTTTGTAAACTAAACTTTTTGTAATTAGCATGGGGCAAGGATTAGATTGTTGAAGAGAATCATTTCCATTGCCCTGTTGCCTTTGCATTTGCACCAACTAGCCATTCTTCATAATCTTGATTGATGATCACATATATGTTGTATTTGGTTTGGAGATTTGGGAAGGGATTTGAAAAGGAAAAGGAAAAAAGTGTGTAAAACTAGGTGAAATGCAAGCATATTTTATTCACACCTTTTTAGAAAAACTAGTTTTGGTTTCCTTTCCAAAACTCTTTCTAAATCTCTCAACCAAACACAGTGATAGTGTTTGGTTTGCTAGAATAAAGGTGGATTAGAATGGAGTGTTTAGACTTGCTTAAAAAATATGTGATACATACCAATCCTCTTGTTCTTATTTGACACAATTTAAAACATTGAAGATCAAATGTAGTTAATGATTTTGTTAGCAAGTGTTGTAAGGACATTAATAACAAAATTTAAAATAATCATACAATTTTTATTGCACACAATTTTATAAAAAAATGTACGAGCATTACAAATTTCTTAATAAGTGATTTCAAGGTATTAATTATGACCGTGAGCTAACTAAAAAGCACGTTAGAATTCTAAAGTGGTCTTTCAACATATTTGTTTCAGAAGAACTTTTTTAGCACGACTTTTAGCTTTTTAGCTAAATTAGCTCTGTTTGAGAAGAGAGTTTTGACTTTTTGACTTTTTTGTGAGAGAAAAAATAAAATAATTATGGTTTGGATGTGACATTTTATCTTATTAATTTATTTAATTTATTTTTTTTTTGTACTTTTTTAGTCCCAACCAACTTCTATATCAAAAAAAAAAAAAAAACTTCCAACCAACTTCCCAAACGGGAACATAATATTTTCCTTTCATTTTCAGGCAAATATCTTTCACTTAAAATTGCAAAAATAACACCATCTCATCATTTTATGAATTTTACACATAAAAATTTAGTTTGTAAATTATTTTCTATTTGAAATAGCCAAAGATAAATTCATTTTATTTTGTGGCTGTAGACTTAAAGGGTACGTTAGATGCCTTGCCACAATTGAAAATATTGTCCCCTCTAATGTAATCCAACCTCTACAATGCAATTCATCCCCACAAATTATAACAATGATAAAAACAAAGTTAATAATTAATAGGGAAAAATTTACTTTACCCCTTTGTATTTTAAGCTCAGAACATTTTATCCTTATGATTGAAACGTTTTACCCCTTATGATTTAAAAATATACGGAGAACTATCTTGTAATTTTGAATTAAATAGTAATTCAAACTCTGTTAACGATAGGCTTAAAATGACCATAATACCCCTATGGCTTTTCTTCTCTATTTGTATACTTCTCTTAATTTATTTCTCACTCTTTTATTATACAAAAAATTCATACATATAAACGTATTTATATATATACAAACAGAATTATACAACCAAATTTATATATACACACAAACAGATTTTATATATACAAACATATTTTAAATCATACATAATATAGATTTATATATACACACTATGTATACACACCAACACAAACAGAGAAAACACCATTCCAAACCAATTCAATAAAAATCATATTAAAACAAAACGAATAACTACTAAAAAGAAGAGTCACAGCTAAGAATCAAATCCAAACCATTAATTTGACCTGCACATACAAAGACATTGAGAAAATAGAAGAACCCATTTGGATTTGTGTCTTTTGAGAGATACCTAGATGGTGTTCTGGACTGAGAGAGGCATTGTTTCAAACTGTTTCTGAGCCATCGTAGTTACGAAGAAAAGCATAAATTCAATAATGAATCAAAATACAAAAAAGAAAACATTCACTTGAAAATTTGGGGTGATGAAAAAATGAGATTGCTCGAATAATCTTCCAATGGATTCGCATTGTATACAACAAAATCATTAAAAAAAATTTAAAAAAAAATCTAAATGATAAACAAGAACAAATGCAGCCATCAAGCCCATAATCCTAAGATCAAAACAGAGCAGAAAACCCTAGAAGAAGAAACCCCATCGATTTGGGGTTGGGTATGTGTGAAGGTATGCAAATGGAAGAAGAAAATCCTAGAGGCTGAAATTAGGGGAAGAGAGACCGAAAGATAGAGAGAGGGAAAAATAGAGAGGGGACATACCTGGGGCAATGCTCCAATGGTGGATTGACGGTGCTGCTCGTGTGCGATGGTGGTGATGCTCCTGTACCCGATGAAGATGGAGACAAAAGCGAGGGAGAGAACTAGAGGAGGGCAGAGGCGTGAGAGAGTGAGAAAGAGAGAGAGAGAGAGAGTCACAGAGTGAGAGATAGACGACGTATGAGAGTTTGAACGTGTGGAAGTGTATTTTTTAAACGTAGTTTATTTTCTTTCTCGACCAATTTTTGTAGTCGCCAATAAAAAATAAAGACGTTTTTCCGACTACCGACTTTAGTAGCCAATTAATTTTTCCTCCAAAATCTGAAGTCTATTTTTTAAATGTTTTAATTATAATCGCCGACTAAAATTTAGTCGCTAAAAGTAAATTAATACCGACTAAATTATTTTTAGTAGCTAAAGATTATACATTTAGGGACCAAAATTTTTTTAGTCGCCTATAGGGTAATTTTTTGGCGACTAAGTAATTTTTAGTCGCCTATTGAGTAACTTTTTAGCTACTAATTGTATTTTAGTTGCCTATTGGGCTATTTTTAGCGACTAACTGTGTTTTAGTCACTGATTGGGTCATTTTTTAGCTGCTAATTATGTTTTAGTCGCCAGTAAGTAATATACGGCTACTAAAAAATTTTAGTAGCTAAAATATGAAACATTGCCGACTAATTCAAATTTTAGTCGCCAAAGGGCTGACTTTTGGTGACTAAATTAATTTTAGTAGCCAAATTTGATCGCCAAAAGTGTAATTTCTTGTAGTGTATGGATTCATTCTTAGGGTTGCCCCAGACCCCATTCACATCCAATGGTAGGGCAGAATTATGCAGCATAAAAACCTTTGAATAAATCTTTGTTGGAATCTTATCTATGACTATTAACACTGACCTGTGCTTTTTATTTGGTTCATTACTTAAATCTTTTCTCTGATTCCTTTTCTATTATCTGTGGATTAAAAAGGAAAGGTTTTCATTAATACTTTCTAATTTCTTTTTTTTACCTTTGGTGGGGACGTAATTTTGGGGCCAAGCCACGTGGCCGAGGTGATTGCCAAGATACCACATGGACAAACCAGAGTGCCGATGTGGTTGTGATATAGCCGAGATACAGTGCGGTAATATCGGAATCCTAGATATTTGGATAGAGGACAAGAGTCCTAGATAAGTTACACACTTAGATCGGATAGGGATGAGGCTATTGAGTAGTTCACCCATATCTAACTAAGAGTTCGAGATAAGTGTTATGCTTAAGTCTTGTGAAGTGAGACTTCTAGGGGACGAGGGCACCACTGGTTATAAAAGTAAGACACCCCCACAAATCTAAGGTATGCTTTTACTTATACACTGTTCATTTGAGTTAATATCTTTGAGAGATAAGTGACTCACTTGATCATCAGAGTGCCTCCGAGTGGACGAGCCACCGTAGTGTTCTTATCTTCTTGTGTGTAGGTGCGTGATTTAATCTATTATGCTGCATGCTTCCCAACTAAGTTCCATATTTGGTTGTGAGGTCAAAGATCAATATCCACAATTTGGTGCCGTCTATGGAAACTTAGTAAAGAATAGATTGCCAACGCTGGACAAGAGGTGAGAGTTGGGAAAGACATACATAGTGAGGAAGAGGAGTACATGGATCCAAATGTTGGAGGAGGAAACAATGGCGAACAAGCGCAAGAAGTAAATCCTAAAACAAACAATGCCGCTAGGGGCCTAATGGCCCATGAAGAGGCAACCGAGAAGAATATTACAAAGAGAGCAACTTCCTAGTATAGAAAGAAAGATGTTTGAGAAGAGACGACGAGGTGAAAGACTTGGTGAACAAATTGACAGACCTGTAAACCGTGGTGAACTTCATGATGTAGAACAAAGTGATACAACCAGCATTGCCCTTCTCGATAATGTCGATCCTAGCAATGAATGCCAATGCCTAAAAAGAAGGACAAACCGCGGTACTAACCATCCCACAACATGAGAAAAGGCTAGGGAACTTGCACCAGGGATCACAGAACACCAGGCGAATAGAATCACAACGGGAGGAGTCACAGAGAACCCCGAAAACCAGAGGAACCCAAGTCAGAGAATCTTGGCAAATCAACAGGGAGGGCCTCTGCTTTGACGACATAATAGACGTGGAGAAGTCCAAGAGGACGGATCCCAACACTAGAAGCAATGCACCAAAGACACTAAAATCAACCGATAGCTAAACTCCTGGGCAGACGAAGGAAAACTTGTGGGATTACCTGCAGAGGAAGAGGTAGGGAGCTGAGGTCACGTCCACCGCACTGCTGAGAATGCCTTTCTTGATAGAGTTGGATACGTTCGAGACACTAAAGAGATTTGGTATACTAAGGTTCCAGATTTATGATAGTTAGTAAGATCCAAACTTTCACGTTGGTTTATATTTAAATGCAATGTCTGTGGAGTGGAAACAATCAATTGTTATGCAAGGTGTCACTACAAGAAATAACACTTTTAGCGACCAACTTTTTGGCCGCAGAAAGCTCATATCTTGTCGCTAATAGTTTTTAATGACCAAAAAATGTTGGTCGCAATTTAGTCACCAAAAGACTGTCACAGAAGGTTTTTTGAAGTTGGTTGCGGAAAGTTATAATTTGCGACCATATATTTTGGTCGCGGAAAGGATTTTAATTTGTCAAAATTTGATCATTTTTCGACCAAAAATTTGGCCGATGAAAGTTAACATTTGTGACCACCTATTTTGGTCGCTAAAAGTTAACATTTGCGGCCACCTATTTTGGTCGCTAAAAGGGTTTAAATTTGTTGAAAGTCTGAATTCGTGACTATTTATTTAGTCATTGAAAGTCTATGCTTTAGCGACCACGTCCATGGTCACCAATAGTTATTCCTAGAAGCTTCTCAAACACCTATTGCGACTAAAATTTTATTGGTCGCAAAAGAGCTTTAAATTTCAAAAATTAATTTTTTAAATCTAATACTATTTTTTTTAATCCCTATAATACATTTACAATTAATGCATAATTCATGTCCATCCAATCAATTTCAACATACCAATCCATCAACAATCCAATCTAGAAACAAAAAACCATCGACTATAAAACCGAAATAGTAGTTAATCTATCTAATTACAACCACTTGTCAACATGAACACATTACAAGTCCAAAATTACCATCCATTTGTTTAGTTTACAACGAATTTACATCAAAAACATATTTACCAAAACCATTAGAGATTCCAAAAACCATTAATATCCAAGTGTGTGTCATATTTGTCCGATGCGAAATATATCCCAAAAAAAAAATGTATAAGCAGAACTTAGAATTAATGCATCAGCAAACTCAGGTCCATAAACACGCATGAAGAAACCTCTAGCAACTTGCAATAAAAAAACATGAAGAAAGCATTGTCAATAATAATATTTTTGCATACATTTCTATTTAATTTTGTAAAAATCCGTGGATCTAATTCCACTCCCAAAGCTAGCAATCACACACAGCCTTATTGCCTAGTCCAAAAAATAAAATAAAATAAACAAAATAGGGAATTAATCTAACTAGAGAATGTTTCATTGATGGTGGCAACAATCATCAAAGTTTTTCAAAAACAATTATTAATTTTCTTGATAGGAAACATGTAGAAATATTCAAATGAGTCACAAGCAACTTAAAAAGCTAGAAGGCATTTTTCCCAATGTCAATTCTAACTGGAGTTCTTACACTTAGGATTAGATTCTTATAGTTATTTCCTAGTAGAACCAAGATTTCCCTACCATTATAAATTTGGCTATGATCCTCTCTAAGTAGAAATTAACTCAACTACCAATTACATCCCCACTAAAATTAATCAACATTTGAAAAATAAAGAACGAGTTAAGCTTGCAAAAAATAAGCAATCAAACGTGCCTAATTATATTAAAAGAATGTTAGGTTTAATAAATTAACCAAAAATTTTATATATAGCAAAAACTTTGTTTTGGTTGGTGGGGGGGGAAGAAAAGGAAAAATCTAGACATGGTTGAAGAAACAATTATCTTTAGCGATAAGGTAAAAGAAACAATTCTATTCAGTGCAGATGTACATCCAAAAAATCTTGGTAATATACTTCATCAATTTCTCTAGAATGGAGTTCGAAATTAAAGAATTATTTTTTGCTCACCTTGCAAGAATGAAAAAAAAAAATTGGCCTAAAAACTGACAGTCAAACAAATAAAGAAAAAAAAAAGTCAGCAAAAAGCCGGCCATTAACATATCAATTTGGAAAAAAATTACTGACATAATTGCTAATAAATTCACAATTTAAAACTATAGCATAACATAATTACACCATAGATGACAAAAGAATTACAAAGGTACTTCTGATTGCTTCTTCAAGCAACCATCAAATGGAACCAGTTAACAGAGTGGATGAACGATGCCATTGTTTTGTGAGGAAAACAATCATTGATGTTGTAAAAACTTCACCATTCAACATTTTAGAGTAACAAAAGGCAAAATGGGGATGCACTCAGTTCTAAGGTGCTAGACTAAGATTGGCCTAATAATACTTTAAGGACCTAAAACAAATTATGAATTACAAAAGAAGGTGAAAAGGAAATTACTTGCTCCACCAAAGAGGTTTTAATATACCAAGGTGAAACAGCGTTACTCCTGATATTGTCTTTTGCCCACTCACATGCCAAATTCCTTGTAAGTTGATTAATTGCTCCTGGGAGTGATGAATAAACATGATTACAACTTTTTGTGACATAACCTCTACAAGTATACTGCAAAATCTTGCAATAATGATCAGATCAAAAAATAAATTACCTTTAGTTGCTTCATGGACAGACATAAACTTCAGTGACACAAAGCCAAAGACAGGGGAAGTGAATACAACATTTCCTACTCTTGATGCTTTTAAAAGAGGATGTGCAAGTTGGCACATATGAAAAACAGATTCAAAATTCGTCGCAAAGAGTGTAGCATATTCTTTGGCAGTGAACTCTACCATTGGCTTCCTTATGTTGGTTCCATCATTATTAATTGTAGACACCCCATTTTTGACCGACCTTAAGACTCAGACGTCATCGTTTGTGTGCGTGATGATTATGCATGTTTGTGCTCGTTTTGAGTGCCCGAAGATCTCGGCTGTGCGCCTTGTCTTTGAGCCTCTAAACCCTCTGTGTTTTGGCCTGGTTTTTGGACCATGCCTTGGTGCCTTTGCCTGGGGGGAGAGAGAGGCCTGTAGGCCACTTTTTGTAGCTGTAGGCTACTTTTCCCTCTTGTAGGCCACTTGCAGTGGCCGGCAGGCTAGTTTTTGGAGCTTTCGGCTGAGCGCCTTGTCTCGGGACCTCTTGACTCTCTTCTTCTTGGTTTGTTTTTGAACCATGCCTTGGTGTCTTTGCCTGGAGGGAGAGAGAGGCCTGTAGGCCACTTTTTGTAGCTGTAGGCTACTTTTTCCTCTTGTAGGCCACTTGCAGTGGCCGGTAGGCTAGTTTTGGGAGCTTTCGGCTGAGTGCCTTGTCGTGGGGTCTCTTGGATCCCTTTCTTTTGGTTTGTTTTTGGATCATACCCTGTTAACCCTTACCTAAAGGGAGAGGAGGGCCTGTCGGCCACTTTTGGTGGTTGTAGGCCACTTGAAGTGGCATACGGCCTTTTTTCTATTTTTGCAGATATTTTTAGATATTTTGAGCCAACTGTGGCTCACTAAGCCATCCTTCATACACGTATGAAGGGATGAAGGCAAGTTTCAAGCTTGTCAGGCAAGCTTTTGCTTGCATTGCTTATAGAAGGAAAGACCCCTCTCCCTTTCCAGAGGTTCAGAATTTTTAGAAACAAAATTCACTCCCTCTCTCTAGAATTCTCTCTCTATATATATATATTTGTGCTTGAAAGTTCTTGAAAGTGGGAATTCTTGGTGCATTTGCAAAGGGACTCTTGATCAAACACCTCTACCTTGAGGCTAAGGTGCCTGGAAGTCTTATTTGAGCTTTTAAGGGCTGATTTTTCCTCAGAAGTTGCTAGTTTTGTAGTTGTACTTCAAGGGTGATTAATTTCCTCTTTTAAGCTTATTTTAATACACAAGCTTAGCCACCTTTGCATGCTATTTTAGGCCTAGCTTTCAACTACAAAAAGCTTTATTTTAAAGTGTTTAAAATGGTTGTTTGAGGCCTTGTTTGAGTTAGTGGTGGTCTACCCCTTTTGGTAGCTTGTTTTGCTTTGCTTTGTGCCATCTCTTAAGGCCTTTGAGATCATCTTTGTTTAGCCTTTTCACCACTAAATTCCAAAGGAATTTTAGTGGTGGAAAGTGGGTTTTAAGACCCAAAATGGATGGGTTTGTGCTTTGTTTGCATGTGTTGTTGGGCTTAACACTTTGGCATGTTTTTCTACCCTCTTGAGGCTCTATCTTAGCATGTTTTTGGCCTTATTTTGCCATGTTATAACTCTGTTTTGGGTTGGTTTGGCCTCATGTTGTTTTCTTTTTGCACTTGTAATGTAAACTTGTTCACTAGCCTAACATGCTTCATAAGTTAGCTTGTTATTCTAGCATGTATTGGCTTCACTCCAGCATGTTTTGGTGTTATTTTGGCATGCTTTAACTCTGATTTTAGTTGGTGGGGTCACCTCTTGCTTGGTCTTTGTACTTGTAGTGCGATCCTCCTTGTAGGCTTAACATGCATCATGCTTTGTACCTCTAATTCTAGCTTGTTTTAGCTCTGCTCCAGCAGGTTCTTAGCCTTGTTTTGACTTGCTTAAACTCTGTTTGGAATGATCTTGGCCCTTTGTTGCTTGCCTTGTGTGGCCATAGTGTAATGGCCTTTGCTAGTCTTGTGTCTTAGGGCCCCTAGCATGCCTTATTTGTGACATATGTGTGATATAGCATCATTTGGTATGTAAATTCAGAGCATAAACTTCTGTCGTACTCTCATGGTTATCGCTCTTTCATTGTGTTTGAGACGTGTGCCTTTGTGCCTTATTTGTAAGTTACCAAAGGAGCATGATTTTCTACTCTTTTGAGCCTTAGTTTGAGCATGTTTTTGCTACTAATTTGCCATGTTGTAACTCTGTTTTGGGCTAGTTTGGTTGTTTAAGCTTGATATTGCATGCCCCTTGTGTTATGCTCTTTGCTAGCTTCAATGCTCTTGGCTCTTAGCATGGATTCCATGGTTTGTTTGCATGATTTCAAGGTCTTTAGCATCTCATTTCAGTGCTGAAATACATGCCATTGCACTCCATTGTTTACTCCTTCATTTATTTTGAAAGAGGTCTTGAGCCCCTTGTTGGCTTGAGCATGGAATTGAGGCTCTCATGCCTAATGGCTTTAGCCTTCTCTTGAGGGCTTCCACTAACCAAAAGCATGAAGCTTCTTCCATGCTTAAGGTACTTGTGGTTTGGACCATCTTTCCCATTAGAGGACAATCACATTTGGACAAATCAATTAAAGGATTAATTGGTAAGCTTAAAATGTGTAAACAAAATTGGACCAAGTAAAACATGTTAAACTAAGCATACAGTGTTTGCATTGCATTGCCTTTGGATCGGACGTTAATCCAAATGCGAGAAATGAGAGACGTTTCATACTTGAAGTGATGAAACGTGCCTCATTTCTTGGTCGCCGTCCCCCTTGATTGTGCATGATAGGGTGGAGGCCTCTTGAGTCTTGCGTGTTATTTGTGCATTCATAAACTTGTACAAACTTGACTTCTCGGCCATCGTGCATTGCGATGCTCAGTTGGTGGCCCGAGAGTTGAGTACCGCACTTCTTTGAGCTTGAGAAATGATAAGGAGGGTGGTCGTACACACATACCCTGCAAATGCCTTGACTTGCTCCTTTTGTAGTCAGTTCGCAGCAAAACTGGAGTAAGCAAAAGCAACTGGCCGATCGGCCAGAGGAAGTGGCCTACAGCCTCCCTGGTGGCTGACAGTCCACCAGCTTGAAGATGGTTCAAAGTAGTTCTGGTTCTGGAGCAGAAGCAGCCTGCGAATTGGTTCAGTGTTCAGGAATCAAAGTGAATGCAAACAAAGGCAACCGGTGGCAAGGCGACGGGATTTTGGGAGGAAGCCGATCGAGCATGCATGCATCCCTCGCCCTCGAGGCCTTTTAACTGCTTTACTTAGCTAGTTAATTTATTGGCTTTGCACTTAATTAGTTAATGTGCTTAGCTAATCAATTTTGTGTTGTAATAATTAGTTAACTAGTTAGTTAATTAGTTTGTTTGTAATAATTAGCTTAATTAGCGTAGCTAGTTAGCTTTCATTTCATTTGGACCCTCCTTCGAGAGGGCATAATGTTTTAATAAGGGTGCGTGTGTGTGTGTGCATGTCTTCCAACCCCATTTCTTTCTCCCTTTTGCTTACCCGCTTTCAGTGGTTAGATTAGGGCATGTTTCAATTAGCATACTTATGCTTTGCATACGTGTATCATTCATTTGTCTTGCATGCACGGGGCTCGGCGCAACATTCAAACTGCATTGTATTTCAATACCTATTTGAATACATGTATCAAATGTCGCATTCATATGTCATGATTAGGTAGTCGAGCCTACTTAGTTGCCTTTTGCATGTGTTGCATTAGGCATCTTAACATAGCTAGGATCATGCATTGATTTCTAACTAGTTTTCTATTTTGGCTCGGAGTACACTGTAAGTGTTTATGCTTTAGCATCCTTGCATGTGTGTAAGCGACTGCCATGACAGCATGCTTGCCATGGGGCTATTTGCTTAATTGCTATAACTGCATGAATGCCTATGGATGAAGGCTTCATTGCTTGAATTGGAACAATTCATGAAAATGTGAGTTTTAAGCCCACTCGGAGTGGCAAATCATCATGTTCTAAACCCACATTATTTGGTGGCAAATCTGCATTTCTAAGCCCACTTGAGGGTGGCAAATTCAAACCATTTTCAAAAGCAAACATTGAATTGTTTTGTTCCAATTCAGGAGATCGAGTCTATACTTGTATGTTGTGCGCATCACGTAGTAATGATAGATTAATAATCGGAATAAGAACACATGTGTTTACAAAAACAACATATCATGTTTAGTAGAGGCCGATCTTTTGATCGGGCGAGCAAGGGTGCTCATTTCAGGACCTTCTCCTCTCGTACCCAAGTTCCCGAGCCGAGGCAACTTTGGTGATGACGGACATGTGGCCTTAGGCACGAGTCAAGGTTTCCTAAATTTCCCAAAATAAAATATTTAGGTGGCGACTCTGTAATCTGGAAAAGCAGTCCATGTTTGCTGCTTTTTGATTAAAATCGATTTACCAAAATGATTTGCTGGATTTAGACTCTTTGGTGATTTATTAGTCTCATATTGCACTTTGTGAGATTAGATTTAGAACCGTGACAGGAGTCCTGTAGACGTGCCCGAACGTCCCGGGCTCTGCGCGCGAAATTGCGCGAAAATCCGTTTTGTTCATTAGCATACTACAGTTCGGACTCAATGTCACGGTTCTGAATCTAATCTCGCAAAGTGCAATGCAAGACCAATAAATCACCAAAAAGTCCAAATCTGGCAAATCATTTTTGAAAATTGATTTTTATAAAGAAGTGCCAAACATGGATTGCTTTGCCAGATACAGAGTCGCCACCTAAATGTTTTTGTTTTGGAAAATTTAGGAAACCCTGACTCGTGCCTAAGGCCACGTGTTCGTCATCACCAAAGTTGCCTCGGCTCGGGAACTTGGGTACGAGAGGGGAAGGTCATGTAATGAGCACCCCCGCTCACCCGATCAAAGATCGGCCTTTACTAACATGATATTTTGTTTTTGAAAATACATGCGTTCTTATTCTGATTATTAGCTAGAATTACTATGTGATGCGCACAACACACAGGTATAGATTAGATCGCCTAAGTTGGAACAAAACATCTCATGTTTGTTTGTTTGAAAATGGTTTGAAGGTGCTACTCGCAAGTAGGCTAAGACGTGGATTTGCCACCCTCAAGTGGGCTTAGAAAACATGATTTTGCCACTCTTAAGTGGGCTTAAAACTCTCATTTGATGAATTGTTCCAATTCAAGCAATCCAACCTTCACGCAC